AGAGAGAGAGAGAGAGAGAGAGAGAGAGAGAGAGAGAGAGAGAGAGAGAGAGAGAGAGAGAGAGAGAGAGAGAGAGAGAGAGAGAGAGAGAGAGAGAGAGAGAGAGAGAGAGAGAGAGAGAGAGAGAGAGAGAGAGAGAGAGAGAGAGAGAGAGAGAGAGAGAGAGAGAGAGAGAGAGAGAGGAGGTAATTTATATAATTTTTTAACAAATACGTAATTATTAAAAAAATTAAAGAGATAAAATAAATCAAATTAAATTTCTCTTATAAGAAAAATTAACTTTGTATCTCAACCTTTTTAATTACAAGCTTCTTTATGATTTTTTTGTACAAAAAATTTAAATTAGGATAAAAGATAACTCTATTTAAGGTGAGAGTCAACAACAATCAATATTATTGAAAATTTATAGGGAGATTATGGATTAATTACCCTATTTCCAAGACAAGTTTGCATAGAAAAATATGTAGTATAAGAGAAGTCAAATTCGATCCCAGATTCTAATTAATAGAAAAGAATGAACTTAACTATTTATATCACTTTTACTTAAGAGGACAAGCTTCTTTGTCTAACATCACTATTAATTGATGAAGTATATAAGTTAAATTTAATTCAACTTACAACTTTGATTGATTTTATTTTCTTATATTATATGCTTAATGTCACATTTATTAAAACGATCAGATCTGGATTACACGATAAATAAATTCTCAATTGAATTTGAATTCAGGCACTTCTTTTCTCTTCTCCCCTTTCTCAATAGGTAATAAAGAAAGAGTTAATAAAAATATTACTACAACTACATATATTTTACAAAAAAATCATTCTCTATTTCTATATACAAATGAGTTTAATTTCATATATATTGCAACAAATTTGAAAATTCTGGGGTAGACTTGAAAAGATTCAATTCATAAGTAGTTATGATCATAAATACAACCTCATAAACTCTTTCTATTTCTAAAAAAGAGACAAGTATCACAAATCTATCATTTTTACGTAATGATAAAAATATGCACTTTGATAGAATTAGCTGGAGGATTGATAAGATGTTTGAGACCATTCAGCATAAATTTTCATGCTTTTCAATAATAATTCAAGCTCAATCACTCGTGCATATATTACAAGTCTGAATTTTATATTTTAAACCTAGAATGTAATGATATTTGTCAATTGATTAGATTATACAGTTCTAATCTATTCTCTCAAACTCTAATTCAATATTACATGTCTTATTTTCATATTTCAAACCTAGAATTTAATGATAGTTGTCTTTTCATTAGACTATACTATTCTAACCTATTCTCTCAAACTCTCAAGAGCATCTCTCATATGTCTTAGGAAACTTCAAATTTTTCAATCGCTAATTATACATCCATAACATAGTAAATTGAAAAGACTAAAAAATCATAACTTTGAAATGTTTTACTCATAGGGTTAATGAACACACCAAAACTAAGGCTGATCAAACCAACACTTATACACTTTATTTTCATTTTCGAGGTGCCTACACCCAAATACCATGGAGCGAAATTTATATTACAATCATCACAAATCCTCTTTCCTACCCAATTAATTTGCGCCTTTATTAAATAGCCAAATCCTAAACATACATTAATATACCATGGAGAGAAATTTATTAAAATCATTACAAATCTCTTCTCCATCTAACTAATTTTACACCTTTACTAAAACAGGCAAACCCTAAATATATATCTCACATCCCATATTTCTTAGAAGATAGCCTCAGTTCTAGATCGATATTGTCATCAACCCCTACTACTAGGTGGCACGTACTTGGTGGTTGTGCCACAGGTAGCTTTTGTGATGACTCATCATGTGTCCAAAGCCGAGTTGCACCACCAGAAACATAGGTTGTTGATGCTTCTTGTGCAACCATGGGAGGTGTAACCGCGTGGAATATCTGGTTTTCTTGATGTGGAAGCATATATTCAATTTGGGCAAACCTAGCCATTTTTCTTTCTCTTCTATGCGCATTTTGGTGGCCCCCTAACGCTTGCGAATTATGAAACTCACGATGGCAGAATCGACACTTCTTGCTTTGGCCATTGCTATCAGTGGGATGAGTTATGGGGAAACCGAATAGCTTCAACGCTGAAGAAGAGGAAGGTTTCTTCTCGGAGGATGAACTCATTATGTTTCTAACATTAGGGGTGTGTTCAATTCTCTTGTACTGTATATGATGGAAATTAAAATTGATGATTGATATATACTTGGTTAAATCCCTGACCGTTGAAGTTGCAATTTGCAAACAATATATCAACGTCTATTGACACACAGAGTGGTTTCATTCTTGTCCATTCTTCAAATGTCGGATAGAATAAATCAAAATTTCAGGTCACATTATACTTCACTAGAAGTCTAACAGCTGTCATTTTTCTTATCATTATTGTACATTGCTAAATTGCGAATGTACAAGCCAATATATATATAAACTATTTGAATTATTATTAAAGACAGTCTTGTTTGAGATATTATTGGGGACAAATTTGCTCAAGTAAATTAAGATAATTTAGTAAAACTCTTTTTTCAAGTATTTATTATAATTGTATATCTAGAATTTGAGACTGATTAAATTTAAAATATTTTTCCACTAATTGACCCTCGTGTTGAGTATAATATGTTATTTTAAGTTATGCAAAATAATATTGTATTTCAATGTATTCGTTTTTACGCCAATGATCTTTTAAACTTAATAAAAGTTAAATTATGAACGTAGTTCAAAGCTAAGATAAATAGTGTTCAATGTTCTATCCTTTTCAAATCAGTGTATATTGATATTGTAGAATCCTTCCTTTTATCCTCTAAAATGACTTTGTGTAACACTTTTACATGAGGGTTATTGTACCCTTATACTAAATTTCTTTAAAAAAAAATTGTTTATAAAAAAGTAATATTTTTTGTACACCCAAATATTATATACATTTCATTTACACATTATTTATTTATTATTATTTATTATTATTATTATTATTATTATTATATAATATAATCTATTTATACTTTTCTTTATACTTTTTCCCTCTCCGTATAATATTCGGGTTTTCATGAAACATTTGCCTTATTTAAGCATAAAAGGTTGATTTAGTATATATATATATATATATATAATTATTCTAATCCCTCACTTATTTATCCTTCTCATTCATACACAATTAGAAATATATTCTAAATTTAATTGAGAATTTTTTTTATTATCTCATTTTGTTGACAAATATCGTTATCCTTTCCAATATATAACAAAGTTATCCAAAGATCAACTTAACTTGATGTATCTTATACCATGCGGATGGAAGATAATGAGATATATGACTAAGAAAATACCACTGCTCAAGATTTTGAACTTCAAAGAGACGTGTGAATTTGCAACAAAATAATGATATTTGAATACTCACATCTTTCAAACACCTTCTGTATACCTCAATTTATTTTTATTTCTCTCTTCCTATCATATTACATAGCTATTAGTCTATCACTTGTTCCTACATTTTTTCTCTCTTTCTAGATGTAGTTTAATATTTTGCGGTGTCCAATTTTTTTCCTTTGCAATAAGATAATACAAAATTTGTTCAATTATTTGATACTATTAAAAGGAGGTTTAATACATCACTTACTTCCTGATTTTTTTTTAAATTCAATTAAGTTCTTAAATTAAAATAAATTACAATTAAGACTTTTTTTTATCTTTTCTATAATTTTGTAATTTAGTTTTCATAGTTAAAAATTTATTTACGATCCATAAAATTTTACAAAATATTCTTGAATTGTAAATGAATCACTAAGAATAATAATTTAAATAATTATATATGTATGCAAATATTAAAAATATTTTGTAAAATTTTATGAATTGTGAATAAATTTTTAACAAAAAAATAAATTAAAAAATATATTCTTTTATAGCTTTGAGATCTAATGAAAAAAATTCAAAAAGTTTATGGACTAAATGTTGCATTTAATCTTAGAAGAAAAAAAATTAAAATGAGCTTGAGGTGTATTATCTAGGATTGGACCACTTGTCTATGGAAGGAGCGGTTATGTACCCTTTGATATTGCCCCCCACAGGCCACAGCCAAGGAATGGATTCAGCTACCTACCAAATAATGATACAAAGAGGACACTGGTGACGATGAGTGTGTCGCAATCTTAGCTGGGGCTTTAGTTGGGGCCTGCTCCTAACCTTGAACTTGTTTTCATGGTTCTGTTGTACTATATTTTCTAGGTAATCGTGTTGCACTTCCTTTTGTTCTGGGAAGATGCTAATGTTAAGTCATCTCCTGTAGATTCTACTATTTCTCACCGCTGCGAATACCACTACTTTGTTTATCTTTCTCCTAGTGCTATTGATCAAATTTAGCAATCAAGTGAAACTCAATAAAGTGAGACGCGTCCCAAATAAAATATCTCTATGTTTGATTCTCCTGGAAGTGTTAGCAACCAACTATGTTTGAGTGTTTGACCCTATGTGTTATTTAAATTTTGAATTTATAAAGTAATTATTGTCCAACATGTAAAATTGTAGAAAAATAAAAGATAAAAAATCTTCTTCTTTAATGATATTCATGTATTTGATCACTTCGATCAACTTAAATACTCTACCTCAGTAACTCAGTATACATATATAATAAATGATAATGATATGATGTGACAAGAAAAAATAAATGAAATGATAAGTGTTGTTAATTAAGTAAATCTATCCATTCACTCACTCTATCTGAGCCAAGGTTTATGACTGCCTAAACCAAAACAAATGGGCCTGATAAAGCATGTTGTGATTTTTCTTTTTTGGATATGAAAAATATTTCATTAGAACTAAATCAGAGCACCAAGATAAGCGGAGTTTAGGATTATAAAATAAAAGTCTATCCAAAGAACAAGTCCCTATCTTGTAAAGCATCATATGGAAATATATAAAAAGTTGCACTAGAAAAACTACCCCACTTCAGAGGGCATTAATAGCAAAGCAACATAAAATAACCAACAAATAAAAATAAAAATAAAAATTCAAAGGTTTACCCAACAAGAGCACATCAAATTGGTATGTTTTTTAATTGATGCAAATAAAGATTATCTTTAGGAGTGAAGGCTAAGACATATTGGTGTTCAAGTTTTTATTAAGACTAGGTTTGCATTTTTTGTTTTTCATCTAATGATAATATACAGTCCTTCTTATTTCGAAATGTATTGGTCCATTTGATTGTGTTGTAGTTGGGGTCAGCACAATATATAGATTTGATTGGATTTTGACTATATCATTTATTTGAATTCAATTATAAGTTGATTAAAAATTAGGTGTGGGAACAAAAAAAAATTGAACTAAACTATAAAAAATTAAATTATTTGTAAAAATATTGAACTGAACTATTTAAAAAAAAAACTAAACTAAACTAAATTGTTTGAAAACTAAATTGAACTATAAAAAAATTGAGCTATTTTTATGAAAGTGTAAAAGTTAAATGTGTTTAACATGTTCAATTTTAATATGGATTAACTCGATAGTCCAATGACCTAAGCTTAAAAAAAGTTATTCAAAAAAATTATGTCAATTTTGTCGAACCAGACTATATTGGTAGACTAATTTTTAGACTTGAAATCCATTGAATTTGTTTGAATCGATTTTTTTTTTTTATATTTTTTCCTATAAAAATGTTAGTAAAATAGAAAATAAAATAAAGTTTACAAATGTGTCTCATCTTGATGAATTAACGAGTTAAAAATATTTAATTCAAAGTATCATAATAGTTTAATGTAGTTTTGAATTGTAATTTAGTTTAAATTTTTATAATACAATTCAATTTAATTCAATAAAACAAAAAAAAATAATTCAGTTCATTTGAATTAATATATAATCCAATTCAATTTACATGAATTATTATTAAGTTCAATACAATTTTTATTAGGGTTTAGAATTTAAAGTTTAAAATTTAAGATTTTTATAAGTTCAGTTAAATTCATTTTGTTCACCACTAATTAAAACCCAAAATATATGATTTTGTTGTGGTGGTTGCTTTGTCCTGGTAGCTATAAGTTGGGCTAAACACTATAAATGAATTTAGTTTAACTTATATTTGTCTTTATTTTGACTAAAATTTATAAAGTGATTGTTCAACATATTTATTTATTATGCTTTAGATTTTTGAATTTTTATTTAAAGTGATTATTGTCCAACATATTTCGACAACTCATGAGACTATACAATTCTAACCTATTTTCTCGAACTCTAAGGAGCACCTCTCATCTGTCTCATATATATGATTGACATAATGTGTTTCAACAACTAATTAAACTTCCATAACACATTCATTTGAAAAGGCAAAAGAAAATCAAAACTTTGAAAAGCTCTACTCATACGATTAATGAACACACTAAAATTAAGGATAATCAAACCAATACTTATACACTTTATTTTCATTTTCCAGGTGCCCTACACCCAAATACCACGGAGAGAAATTTATATTACAATCATCACAAATTTGTGACCTCTCCTACCCAATTTTTTTGCGCCCTTACTAAAATAGTCAAACCCTAAACTTAAATTAAAATACCATGGAGATAAATTTATTAAAATCATTACAAATCCCCTCTCAATCTAATTAATTTTACACCTTTACTAAAACAGTCAAACCCTAAATATACATATATCTCACATCCCAGATTCTTTAGAAGAGGTTGCTAGCCTTAGTTCCAGATCAATATTATCCTCATCAACCCCATCAACCCCTACTACTAGGTAGTGCATACCTGGTGGCTCCACAACAGGTAGCATTTGCGATGACTCAGGTGCTGTCCAGAATCGAGTTGCACCACCAAAACTAGAGGCTGATGATGCTTTTTGTGCAACTAGAGGAGGTGTAACTGCGTCGAATGTTTGGTTTGTTTGATGTAAATACACATATTCAATTTGGGCCAACCTAGCCATTTGTCTTTCTCTTCTATGCGCATTTTGGTGGCCCCCTAACGCTTGCAAATTCTGAAATTCACGATGGCAGAATGGACACTTCTTTCTTCGAACATTGTTGTCCGTTGGGGACGTTAGAGGGAAACCAAATAGCTTCAGCACTGAAGAAGAGGATGGTTTCTTCTCTGAGGATGAACTCATTATGTTTCTAACATTAGGGATATGTTCAATTCTCTTGTGCTGCATATGTGATGAAATAATTGATAATTGGAACTTGGTAATTATAGCATTTATCTTGTCCACTCAGGGAAAAAAAACTTTTAAAATTGATTATTTTTTATTTTTAAAATTAATTTTCTAAATAATCTTAAAAGAGCCAATTTTAAAATTTGAATTTTTAAAATTTGTTATTAAATGATCTTAAAAATATATCTTTAAAATCGATTATGCAATCTTCTAAAAGTTTTAACTTCTAAGATGAATTATGTGATAGTCAATTTTAAAAATTAAAATTTTAAAAGTATTAAAATTATTTATAAAAATGTCCCCACTTTTAAGATTAATCTCTTTTTAATGATCTTAAAATTTTAATTTTAAAAATAATTTTTACACTAGTAATTATTTAAATGTGGATAGATCAATCTAAATTTCATGTCACAATAAAACTTAATTGAAGTCTAAAAACTTTAAGATGTCACCTAACTTGCATTGTTTTTTTTTTACACCAAAACATTTAAATAGTTAATTATAATCACATAATTGTGAGGATAAAAATGATTTCAAATTTTTTACGAGTGGAAATAATTTACTAGTACAAAAGAGACATTTTACGTATGTTATTTTAGATTTTTTACATCAGAAAAAAGTTTGACGTCAATATGGGAGACGTAAATTTACATTGGGTGTTTTAGCCGACGTAAAATTACGTCGGACATCCTCCACGTTCGACGTAAAATAGTTGACAGACAAATTAAAAAATAATCTCAATCCATGAACACGTCCAAAAATATCGTAATGCATCAATCCAATCGGCGAGATAGGTTCAGAATCAAAAATGGGTTTCGTCGCTGTTGTCATCACCGCTCACTGTAACCGAAAAACATCCAAAGGTCTCATACAGTTGCCAGAAATCCCATTCAATCGCTGGTGTAACACTTAGTAAAAGTTGCACTGGTGTCGTTTGAACCCTTTTTATAAATATATATATAGGGAGCATATCAATCAAGTGAAAGAAAATTTATTATGAGAGATGAGAGGGTTAAAATATAACTCTTAGATTAATTTCCTCTCACTTGATTAAACCCCAAATTTTCTCTCACTTAATTAATCTAATGATTATATTTTAACCCTCTCATCTCTCATAATAAATTCTCTCTTACTTAATTAATCTATATATATAATAAAAATCAATATTAAATATTACTTACCTTTACAAATACAAAACTTGAACCTAAGATCTTAAAATTTGAAAATTAAGTACAACACTAATTAATATAATAAATATTAATAATTTTTAAATATATTTATTAAATAAAATATAGAGACATTGAGTGTTTCAATCTCACTAGTATTTTTATAATATAGTGCTTTACCTTGCGTAAAGATTTAAATTTTTATATAAATAAATGAAATAACAAAAAAAAAAAAAACAAATTCAAAACAATATGATCATATCATAAATTAGTTACTAGTATCTTAGTTTGTATAATGCACATATATGTTTATTATATATAATTAAAATTTATTTAAGTTATATATAAAATTAATATTATGTTTAAATATATAATTTTATTTAAAATTAATATATATATATATATATTTTTTTTTTTATTTATGATAAATAATTTGTACTATAAAAAATTATTTATTGATAGTTTATTTTAAAACATTAATATTAATTCATAAATAATTTTAGTAAATAAAAATTAAATTAAATAAGAAACTAAAAAAATCTCTATAAACCTACTTGTCAAAAAAAAATTCTTTAAAAAAATTATCACACAAGATAGAGATTTATATTTCATATATAAGAATTGATTTAAAAAATAAAAAATGATAATTAAAAATACATGAATAATTTTACTCTTTGAGCAAGATATATTTTCCTGGATCCTCGTGCTCGTTCGTAAATCGTAGTTGAGGAGATTATGGCTCCAATTCTATACATGATCAGATGAATCTTCTTTTTTTATCGTATCTTTCTTGGATCTAATCGAAATCAAAATCCGGTTCAATAATGCATTCAACGAACTCTCTGGACCAGTGCTTTTAATTTTAAAGCATTTAGGTTGAATTATAGAGCTATATCACCAAGGTCTATAGCACTACTCATTTATTATAGAACAAATCACAGTATTAAGAAGGAAATGTGAACTAGCAGGCTTTCCTAGTGGGGTCCGACAGAGTATAGCTTTTGGCAATTTATGTGCCTTTCAACTTTCATGCAAGTTTCAAGTTTTCAACGACCAATTCGAATGCTAATTTTATAAAGTGATATGCTTACATTTCTACCTTTAATTTTTGTCCGTGTGTGCTAGACTATTAGATAATAAAACAATTGAAAACATAAAATTAATATTCGGTTATCCAATTAGCAATTTAAATTAAGTAATAAAAATATTTTTATTATTCTTGTAGCTGATAAAGTTAATTTTTAAATAAGCAAAGTTTTCTTTTCTTTTTTAAGATTAGATAATGGGTACTTCGATCACCGTTCCTCTCCTTCCGGTGATTTCTATAAAGACATTGAGGATGCAACAGATAAGTGATGTTCTAGGATTGGACCACTTGTCTATGGAGGAAGCGATTAAGTACCCTTTGCTATTGCCCTCACAGCCAAGGAATGGGTTCAGCTACGTTCCAAATGATGATATAAAGATGACACTGGTGACGATAAATGTGTCGCAACCTAGGTTGGGGGTCGAGTTTGGGCCTCCTAAGCTTGAGTTTGTTTTCATGGTACTGCTGTACTATATATATCTATGAAATCATGTTGCACTTCCTTTTGATCTGGAAGGGAAGATGCTAAGTCATCTACCGTAGATTCTATTATTTCTAAGTGCTTTGAATATCACAACTTGTTTCTCCTATAGTACTAGTATTAGTATAGTTGTATGATTAAATTTTGCAATTTAGTCTCAATAAAGTGAGACACATCCCAAATAAAATATATCTATGTTTGATTCTCCTAAGTGTTAGTAACCATGTTAATGTATGAGTGTTTAACCCTATGTATTGATTATTATAATTCTGAATTTATAAAGTAATAATTATTCTCCAACATATAAAATTTTAGAAAAATAAAAGATGAAAACCTTTTTCTTTGATGATATTCATGTATCTTATCAACTCAATTAAAATACTCTACCTCAGTAACTCAGTATACGTATATAATAGATGATAATGATATTGCGTGACAAGAAAAAATATGAGAATGGCTGCCTAAACCAAAACAAATGAGCCTGATAAACCAAGCTGTGATTTTTTTATTTTTTATTTTGGGATAAGGAAAATATTTCATTAGAACTAAACGAGAGAACAAGATAAACAGAGGTTAGGATTACATATGGAAAAAGGATGATAAAAGAAAACGCTATCTGAAGAACAAGTCCCTATCCTTAAAGTTAAAGCATCCTATGGAAACATATAAAAAGTTGCACTATAAAAACAACCCCACTTCATAGGACAAAAATAGTAAACCGAATAACTTCAACACTGAAGAAGACGATGATCTCTTCTCTGAGGACGCAATCATTATTTTTTTGACATTAGGGATATTAATTTTCAATTCTCCTGTGTTGCATCTATTGATATTATACGAAGTCGTTTCATGCTTGCCCATTGTTCAAATATCTAACACATCGACCTAATAAATTCCAGGTTATAATAGACTTTACTAGAAATCTAAAAACTTTCATTTTTGTCATCATTAATATTCTATAATTCTAAGTTGTGAATATTCAAGCTGATATATATAGATATATAATATATATCAGATGTGTCTTGTTATACATTTTATTTGGTGGACATCATTTATTAAAATAGCCACCTAATTTACATTAAATATTTAAATAATTAATAAGTGTCACATAATTGTATTGATAAAAAAAATGATTAATTTCATATTCTTTCACGAATGGGAATCATTTTTTTTTTCAAAATCTAATTTTTTTTATAAAATTAAAAAATATATTTAAGTCATATATTTTTATATAAAAAAAAACATTGTCATGAGTCAATTATCAATGATGGTCTTGTTATTTTTAATTTTATATTATTTAAAATACCAATAAACTTATAGAGCAATGTGTTTATCATTGAACATCTTAATTTAAAATAAGTTGGAAATACTTTTGGTTCTCCACCAACAGTTTAAATTAGGTAAAAATAATTTTTTTTATTATTTCTGTACATGATAAATTTAATTTTTTCACAGACAAAGTTTATTTTTTTTTTTTGAAGAAAAATATAATCAAAGTTTTTTTAAAAAAATCCAAGTTATAAATTTAACTGTTTTGAGTCTGATTTGCAGATTCTTTAACTTTTTATAACAGTTTATGTTAGAACTGATGCATATTAAAAAATAAAAATGATATTAGAAAACATTGATAGTCCCCAAAATATAATTAAAAACCACTACATGTATAATTAAAAGATGATTTTCCTTATTTTTTATTCATGTACGTGATTGATAGAGATATAATAAAAGTAAGTTTTATATCATAAATCACTACATAAAAAAGAAATCTTGTAGTATATATTATATGATACAATACTTGTTACTAAAAGATATTTTTACCTACAATATATATTAGTAAATATATTCTTTTAATTATTAAAAAGTGTAGGTAATGATATATAACATGTTTATAAATTTTATTTAAAATTAATATTAAAATTGTGTGTAAATATATGTTAAATAATTTTATAGCTCTATATATATATCTAGTGACATTTTTTTTTGTATATCCTACATATCTTTATTTTTTGAACTATTAAAATTAATAATTGACTTTGGAACCACAATTATAATTCTTAATGATAAAAAAAATAACACAATATAATTAATAGTATGCATAGAATCTAAATTTTGAACCATATCAACATCATTGTAATTAGGGATGGCAAAGGGGCGGGGCGGGTACGGGTTTCATGATACCCGTCCCCGTCCCCGCAAGTTAAACTCATCCCCATCCCCGTCT